AGTGCACACATGCTGTGTGGCAGGACAGAGCAAAGTCCATTCGCCATTACAGAAAGTATGCAAATGAGAACATCTGTTCCTTGACAAAATGAGTCATTTTCTCCAAATGGCTCCACTGCATAAACACTTTCACTTTAAATTTAATTTTGGCTTTTCATCTCTATATATATTTGGAATTTTTGCTTGTGTTTACTTCACTGTCACCAATTCTTTCGTGTACCCAACTTCCATTGCTTGGTTCTCTCCTTATTTTCCAAGGTATGGCCCTGCTGGCCAAGATGCCGAGTTGTGGAAGCCCCACCCCACCCCTGCAAAGGAATCTCTCCAGCACTGATGACCACACAGGCCATGGGGCAACAGGTGCCAGGGATGGAAGCTTTGGCCCCTGCCTGAACCTTGGTGGGACTGAGGTAGGCTCTGCTTTAACAGAACAGGCCTACCCACCACTCAACTCTGTTTAGCTTCTGTTGTGCTGCATCGCTTAAGAGCAGATTAAGAGGAAACTTCCTCCAGGCCAGTTCTCCCCAGTCACACTCACAGCCTGCCTGGCATCGGGACATTATTGGAAGCTGGCCCCATAGGTTAGATCCACTTGAGCTATCAGAGGACACTCCTGAGCCATGTTTCCATAGGGGTTCCCTAAACCTTTCCTTCACTTTTCTTATTACCAGTCCAAAATAATTTATGTCTTTAGGAAAAGTTCCAGGTGCCTTGAAATTATTTCATCATGGAATCACGCTCTGAAGGTATATTCACATGAGCAGCCCTCATCCTTTCTTTAATCCTTCAGCTGACACTTTTGAGTGCCTAATATGTGCCAACCACCGTGTCGAGCTCGAAGAAAATAACCATGAACAAAGCACATGGGAACTTCTCTCCGGAGTATATGGTGTATGGTAGAAAACAAGCAATCACAGCAATAGCCATCATTTCATGTGTCCTGCTGTTTTCAGGTACAGGGTAGGTGCATTATCATATTCAAGCCACAGAACCACCCTTGTGGAGGGACAAGAATTAGCCACATTTCACAGGGTGCAATGTGTGCACTGCAAGAGCACCCAGCAGAAACCTCCATCTAGCCTCAAAGTCGGGGAAAGGGGGAATCAGTTGGCTGGATAACAGAAGGGACATGTGTGGGAAGACATGTGGCAAGAGTACAAGGCGTGTTTGAGGATGCCGAGATATGGCATGTGCATGGAGAACAGTGAGAGGGAGAGAGTCGGAAGCCTGACCAGCAGGCCTTGTATGCTTTGTGGCCCTACGTCCCTGGAAGCATAGGCAAGGAAGTGATAGGATCAGATTTGCTTCCTGCTGCTGGGAAGATAAAAGTGAGACAGGAACACCCACCAGGACACTGCTAGAGCAAAGCAGGCAAGTTGGTGGCAGAGAGGTACAGAGGTGGAGACCTTTGGAGGGACAGGCCAGGGGTGACTCTGGCCAGAGCAGGTGAATGAAGGGGGCACCAATTCCAGAGACAGGCTGCACTGGAGTAACTGCAGGTATGGGGAAAAGATGAACTCATTTCTGACATGTAGAGTTTGAGCTGCATGAAGATGTTTATTGCCATCTTGATAATATTAAGCCTTCTAATCCATGAACATGGGATGTCTTTCCATATATTTAAGTCTTTAACATCTTTCAACACTATTTTGTTTTCAGTGTACAAATCTTGCATTCCTTTTGCTAAATTTATTTCTGAGTATTTTATTCTTTTTGATGTTATTGTAAATGAAACTGTTTTCTCAATTTTGTTTTTGAATGGTTCATTGCTAGTATTTGGGAACACAATTAATTTTTGTATATTGATCTTATATCCTGAAAGCATGTTGAACTTATTCATTAGTTCTAATCATTTTTAAGTGTACTTCCTTGGGAGTTTTTTTATACAAAATCATGTAATCTGTGAATAGAGAGTTTACCCTTATTTACTTGCAGTCTGTATGCTCTTTCTTTTTCTTGCCTAACTGCCTAACTAGAACCTCCAGTACAATGCTGAATAGAGATGTCTTGTTTCTGATATCAGGGGAAAGCAATCAGGTTAATATAACATCAGCTGAGTTTTTGCAGATATTCTTTATCATGTTGAGGAAACTACCCTCTTTTCCTAGTTTGGTGAGAGTTTGTTTTTCATCACGAATGGGTGTTGAACTTTGTGGAATGTTCTATTAAGATGATTATGTGACTTTTGTCCTTTATTCTATGTTATACTATGTTGACTGATTTTCATATGCTAAACCAACCTTGCATTCCTGGGGTAAATCCCAGTTGGTCATGCTGTATAATGCTTTTCATATGTTGCTGAATTTGGTTTGCTAATATTTTGTTGTGTTTTTGTTTCTATAATCATAACAAATATTGGTCTGCAGTTTTCTTGTAATATCTTTGAGTGGTTTTTGTTTGTTTGGCTGGAGTGCAGTGGTGTGATCTCGGGTCACTGCAGCCTTGATCTCCCATGCTCAGGTGATTCTCCTGCCTCAGCCTCCCAAGTAGCTGGGACTACAGGCACGCACCACCACACCAGACTAATTTTTGTATTTTTTGTGGAGATGTTGGGATGACAGGCATGAGCCACTGTGCCCAGCTGATATCTTTGGTTTTGGTATCAGGGTAATATTACACTCATAGAATGAGTTGGGAGGTATTTCTTCCTCTTCTGTTTTTTGGAACAGTTTGTGAAAGATTGGTACTAATTCTTGCCTGGGGACATTTAAGGGTAGATGTTAAGTTGGACATAAGAATTCAGAACTCAGGAGAGAGGGTGGGGCTGTATACCCAGATTTGGGGGAGACAGGGGAGAGAGATCAGGCTCAGCTCAGAAGGGAACCTGTTAGAGAAGGCCCAAAGCCAGGCAGATGAGATTGCACAGGGAAAGTGGGAGAAGATAGGGCCTAGAACAGAAGCATGAGAAGTATCAGCACCACCAGCCATATAAACAAAGACAGTTCTACAGAGGATACCAAGAGCACAGGGTCTTGCAGCAGGGAGTTTGATAATCTTGGCCAGAGCCTGTGGTAGGGATAGAGCCAGCCTGCTGTGTTAAGGCAGGACTGGAACATGAGGAAATGGACATGAGGAAATGTTTCCTGAAGGAGAAAATATTTCCTCTTAGGGGGCCTTTTTTAAAGCTTTATTTTGAGAGAGTCTTACTCTGTCACCCAGGCTTGAGTGCAGTGGCATGATCTCAGCTCACTGCAGCCTCTGCCTCCTAGGCTCAAGTGATTCTCATGCATCGGTCACCCAAGTAGCTGGGAATACAGGCGTGCGCCATCACGTCCAGCTAATTTTTGTATTTTTAGTAGAGAGGGGGTTTTGTTATGTTGGCCAGGCTGGCCTTTTTTTTTTTTTTTTTTTTTTTTTTTTTTTTTTTTTTTTTTTTTTTTGAGACGGAGTCTCGCTCTGTCGCCCAGGTTGGAGTGCTGTGGCCGGATCTCAGCTCACTGCAAGCTCCGCCTCCCGGGTTCACGCCATTCTCCTGCCTCAGCCTCCCGAGTAGCTGGGACTACAGGCGCCCACCACGGCGCCCGGCTAGTTTTTTGTATTTTTTTAGTAGAGACGGGGTTTCACCATGTTAGCCAGGATGGTCTCGATCTCCTGACCTTGTGATCCACCCGTCTCGGCCTCCCAAAGTGCTGGGATTACAGGCTTGAGCCACCGTGCCCGGCCAACCAGGCTGGTCTTGAACTCCTGGCCTTAGCCTCAGCCTCCGGAAGTGCTGGAATTACATGAACGAGCCACTGCATGCAGCCCGCTTAGGGGTGCCTTTTTTGAGAATGGGAATGAGCCTGAAACCCCAGCTGGGCCCAGCTGCCCATCCCTTCCACAACAAGAGGCCCTACTTGGATTCATCCTATGATTCCAGAGACAATAACTTCCCTGTGTTTCTTCTGGGAAAGCGAGGGCCCCTGGGGCTCATTGAAAGGACTGCAAGAAGGGGGTCCCTTTGAGATTCTGGTTTTGCTGAAAGGTTTATTCTGGGAGGAGTGGGCACCTCACAGGAAATATGACTGCCAAGGGGTGATGTGAATGAAGGAAACCTTCTTTGAGACAGAGAGCTTCAAAAAGCTCCTGGGAAAGAGTAAGGCTCCAGCTCAGCCCCAGACGAAAGGGCCCAGCCCTGAAGTTGAGTTCTGCTCTGACAGCTCCCCCAACAGAGGCCAGGACAAGCTGCTTCTCCCTCAAAACAAGGAGAACCATTGCCTCACCAGACCATGCAGAGATGAGTAGAGGGAGATTAAGGAGCTCTCCTGGTCATTCCCCAACCTCAGCCCCATGCCCCAGAGCCCCCTGCAGCTTGGCTTCTCCCCTCCTCCACCTCTCAGCCCACCTCTCTCTCCTCGCCTAAGCTCCCAGCCTCCTTGTCACCTTCACTGCAGGGAAGGAGCCCAGATGAAGGCACAGGCAGAAGAGGGCTGCCCTGGGGGCCACATACACCCAAGGGAAAGAGAAGGGAGGGTGGGATGGGCTTCAGGCCAACCTGGGGGCATGCTTGGGTGACTTCCTTGCTTTGGAGAATAATGCGGCTGTTTAGGGTAAGATGTTCATGAGGAAACCAGAACTGACCCCTGTCCTGAGCACTCGTCCCTGGAGGAGCCCTCTCCATGAAGAACCTGCATTGGGTTTCACCTATCACCTTCCATCCCATCACCCAGGGTGGGCAAGGGGCAGACCTGACAGAGCAGAGCCACACCCAGCCACACCCCAGGGATCAGTCACTCAGTCTTCTAAAACCTGGGTGGTGCCTGGCCCATCTGGGTTCCTTCCTTCCCCTAGCCCAAGTCCCTGCCCCCAGCCTTGTCCCTGGAGGGCTCAGCCCTGCTCTCTTCCTTCTGAGGGGGACTCTTGGCCCCAGGAGAGAGCACAACTCCAAGGTCACTTCCCACTCATCCCCCACACTGGGTTCAGCCTGTGCCACCCAGGACCTGGTGCTTCTGGGCCTGGCAAGAGACCGAGAGAAGATGTGACTGTGCTCCAGGAACAGAAAGTGCCATTTGGACCGGAGATAAAGAGACTGAGCGCATTTATTCACACACAGAAGTGGATGAGGGGCTCAGGGTTTGAACTCGATGACACTGACGGCAATCCGGGCTGCCCGCTGTAAGGCTTCGGCCACTTGAGGCTTTGCGTGAGACTCCACCTCCATGGCACGGAAAGTGGGCACGTGCACCTGCAGGACCTTGCGGCCCTCGGGGGCCTCTGCCAGCATGGTAAGGGCCTTGGTGGCGTTCAGGCGCGCTACGGTCATGGGGGAGTGCAGCAGCTCCAGGAGCGGGCTGATGGCTTGTGCCTCTAGGGCCGCATACTTCCCTGCAGGCCACCAACACAGGGCGTTCCTAACAGCCCAAGGGGCCCTCTTCTCACCCCCTCACCCTAGCCCTCTCCTGACCCTCCTCCTTGTGCAGTCTCAAGGGGTTTATGCCTGGTTTACGCCCCACCAACATGCCCTCACCCTCAGGGCTCTTGCGCCTTGGCTGAGTCCAGCCTGGGCCTGGCCCCTTCATCTCTTGCCTTTCCAGCCTCAACCGGCTAATCTCAGCCCAGGAGTTGTATCCTGCCCGGGAGTTCAAGAGCAGCCAGGGCAACATAATGAGATTCCATCTCTACAAAAATTTAAAAATTAGCCAGATGTGGTGACAGGTGCCTATAGTCCCAGTTACTCAGGAGACTGAGGTGGGAGGATCACTAGAGCCTGGGAGTTTGAGGCTGTAGTGATTGTGACATTGTACTCCAACCTGGGTGACACACTGAGACCCTGGCTCTTAAAAAAAGCAAACGCAGCTGGGCGCGGTGGCTCACACCTGTAATCCCAGCACTTTGCTGAGGCGGGCAGATCACGAGGTCAGGAGATCGAGACCATCCTGGCTAACACGGTGAAACTGGCCAGGCGCGGTGGCTCAAGCCTGTAATCCCAGCACTTTGGGAGGCCGAGAGGGGCGGATCACGAGGTCAGGAGATCGAGACCATCCTGGCTAACACAGTGAAACCTCGTCTCTACTAAAAAATACAAAAAACTAGCCGGGCGAGGTGGCGGGCCCCTGTAGTCCCAGCTACTCCGGAGGCTGAGGCAGGAGAATGGCATGAACCCGGGAGGCGGAGCTTGCAGTGAGCTGAGATCCGGCCACTGCACTCCAGCCTGGGCAAGAGAGCCAGACTCTGCCTCAAAAAAAAAAAAAAAAAAACACACACACGGTGAAACCCCGTCTCTACTAAAATTGCAAAAAAATTAGCTGGGCGTGGTGGTGGGCACCTGTAGTCCCAGCTACTGGGAGGCTGAGGCAGGAGAATGGTGTGAACCTGGGAGGCGGAGCTTACAGTGAGCTGAGACTGTGCCACTGCACTCTAGCCTGGGCGACAGAGCAAGACTCCGTTTAAAAAAAAAAAAAAAAAAAAAAAGGAACTCAATAGTTCATTTATGTTGCCGATATTTCTTGAGCACCTACTCTGCACAAAATACACACGGTTCCCGGGAGATGCCCTCCTCAACCCTTCACTGCCCCTTCCTGCTGTCCTTGCCGGCCCTACACTCCTGCAGTTCCCAGCGGACTCTCCCCTTTGCTGGTGGAACCTCTCAACCTGGGCCCTGCCAACTCCCATTGTCCTTGGGGTTGATTCCGAGCCCTTCCCAGAGGAGGCTTGGCACCTGTGTGTGCCCCACCCATGCTGGGCTTCTCCTCCACATCCCTCATCACTGCCTCCCAGGGTCTGGCACGTGGCAGGGGCTTCAAGACCCTCAGCTGGAGTGCCAGCTTGGGAATAAGTGGCCTCATCTCCCTGGGTCCCAGCCTCTTGTGTCTCGAGCCCCGTGGCCCTCCAAGCACTCCTGCAGGAAGCCTGGACCGAGACGGACACTGGGCTGAGGCTGTCCCAAGATAAACACGCAGGGGTAGCCCCTGCCACCATGCAGTCAGCATCCTGACTATACCAGTAAAAGGAGGGGCTGTGGACTCCAAGAAGGACCCAACCTCTCCCATCTGCATACCTCAAGCAGCATTAGGGTCAGGTGTGGAGGGCCTGGGAGGACCTGTCTTTGGGAAGCTGATTGCAATTCCAAGCCCAGATGGTCCTCTGTGGAACTCAAAGGAAGCACAGGGCCCCAGGCTGGTGGGTGCGTAGGGGTCAGAGGGAAAGTCAAACACTTTCAGGGGACCTGGGAGTGCCATGCCCCAGTCTGCCAGGTGTGGAAACAGCCCAGCGTTCTTCCATTCGCCCAGGGTTGGGTGACTTAGAGGGGAAGCCTGACTGGTTGGGAGTCCCAATTCTGAATTTGCCCCCTCCCCCAGTTTAAAAAAGTAATTATGATGAATAAACACCATAGAGTCCAGGGCTCCAGGATTTGCTTAGACCTCAGGATAACAGAATCATGGATGGTAAACTAATCAACTCCTGGGTCACAGCTCACGAGGGGCCTGGGTGGGAGGTGGGAATTCCAGGCCCAGGGAACAGACTGGTGCGAAGGCACAGAGGTCCTAATGTGAGTGACCGGTGAGGGGCCACTGTGCTGGGGAGAAGAGGGAGGGCTGAGCCTCGGACCCAACCTTGAAAGGACATCAGTGATAGACCAAGGGGAGGGTTGTTTTTTTTTTTTTTTTTTTTTGCAAAGTGTGGCGTTTGGGGAACAACACCCGGCCCCTGAGCACAGAAAGCTCATCATGGCTGCTAGCCTGCTGGGGTCTCCCTCCCTGTGGCCTCACCTTCAGTGATCACTGTGGCGAACATCAGGGCCCCGGCGGCATTAGACTTCACATGCTCCACCGGGTCTTTCAGTAGATGCACCAGGATGGGGATGACGTCAAACTTACACACCTGTTTCTTGCCCTCTCGAGATATGCTGGGGCAGAGAGGGAACAGAGAGGGGCTCTGCTTGGAAGGGAGAAGAGGGGCAAGGCCCAGGAGTGCTCCAGGGAAACACAAAAGAAAGAATTGTGTTGGGACTACCCCAGGTAGTCCAAGGACTGGTCCCCATGATCCAGGACTGGTCAAGGCGGGGATGCTGGGCTGCAGAGGAGGACTGGTGTGAATGCGGCCCACTGCGAGTGAAGACCAGGGAGTGACAGGGCCTCATTCTGAGCCAGCACACAGAAAAGAAACAGGGCACGTTCTCCGTGGCCCCAAAATGGGAAAGAGCAGGAGCCAGGGGTGTCAACCACAGGGAGACCCGTTTTGACTTTGCCTAGGAACCAGAGCTGCCAGTGATGGGTCAAGCTGCCCCCAACAGCAGTGGCTGCCAGGCACTGGGCAACTGCAGCTAAGGACTCAGACCAGGTGACTTTTAGGCCACTTACTCTGGCACTGAATGAAGTTGTGGAAATGAGGATGATGACTCCCTAAAAGTTTCCTGTGAGAGGGTCAATTCTGTCCCCTAAAAAGCAAGGGTTCCCTGGGGCAGGAAACACTGTTCACAAGCCCCACAGGAGTGTCACAGTGCAAAGACCCCTGTGTCACTTAATCAACCTTTCCCAAATGTAGCCACCAAAGAACCCTCATTTTTGTAGAGCTCTTAATGACCTCAAAGACACAGGTGTTCCCTGGGAAACAGATTGAGAAATGGGGTTGGCCAGCCACTAGCTGTGACCTTGGGAGCCTGTGGAGCTTTCAGGACAGTGGGACTCAACCCCGAGGCCCGTGATCAAAGATGCAGAGTCCTGGGCCCCACATGCAGGGATTCCCCGATTCGTTCACACAGCGAGACACTGAGACAAAAGCTGGGTTTCTCCAGCTCAGCGTTCTTTAGGGCCAGATAATTCTCAACTGGGGGCCAAAGCTCCACCACTGTAAACCCTGGGTTTAGGGCAGGAAACAGAGGAAAGCCCTGTCCTCAGGAGCTCCCCTCGGGGATGACACACAAAGTAACGGCAGGGATGGTGTTCACAGCGGACATGGGAGGACAGGGGACAGCGGGGAGGTTACAGTTTCAGAGAGAGAGCTCTCTCCTGGCAAGCCACTCTCGTGGTCACACAGAAAGGGGACCTCTGAGCAGACCTAAGAATGACGGGGATGGGACAGGGTCCAGGAATCTGCTTTTTCACAAACCTCCCGGCGGCCTGGGTCAGGAGCCCCACTTGCAGAAATACCGGCCTGGGCCTCTAGTGAGACTCTCAGAAGAGAAGCCAGGACTCAGGGAAGGCAAGAGGGCCTCCACTAAAGAGACATAGCCACAGCTAAGGCAGGGACTCTGGGGGTCGGTGACCAGTCCATCCTTGTGAAGAGGGGCCCAATGTGAGAACACACACCGCACCCCGCCCCCTGCAACTTTGAGGCTTTGTGCTCCCTCAGTTTCCAGGCCAGGATGTAGACTGTGATCTTGTGTGACCTGGGATGAGAGACAAGACACTGCCTCCATTTCTCACCTGTGAAGGCAGACATCGCCTCCCTGGAGGGTTGCCTAAATGTGAGGTTTGTAGACAACGCCTGGCACACAGGAGGCACTCAGTGACAGCTGGGTGTCATGATCATCACCAGTGCATCTCCTGTGCTGGCCTTCCTCATAGGGAGGGGGTGCCAATCGTCTGGCTTTGTCCAGCCTGAGGGGTTTTCTGGGATACAGGACACTCCCAGGCCAAAGGGATGGTGGTCACCCTAGGGGAGAAGGTCATCCTCCGTCCCAGCTTCCTCCTGCCCCTAGACACAAGCAGGCAAGGGGAAGCAGGCCCAGGGTGGCCGCCCTTGAGCTCTGGACCAGCCCAGCTCAGGTGCCTTCTCCCAGCCTTGGCAGAAACCCAGCCTAGGCCAGGACTCACCTGACATTAAGGAGTGCATGAGCGGCCTTGCTGCGGATGTTCTCGTTGACACTGAGGAGCTTCTGCTTCAGGACAAGCACCACGTTGCTGCCCAGGGCCTCAGTGGCATCCTCCCGCAGACAGAGGACCAGTGTGTCCAGGATGAGCTCCTGGAACTCCTCCTCCCGCTCCACCTGCAGCTTCCACACCAGCGGGGAAATCAGACCCTTGCTGATGATCTCTTGGGCCCCTACAAGGCAGGAAAGGGCGCTGAGGGTGGGCCGGCCACTCACCCACCCATGCCAGTTGGCCTGCAGGGCTCAAGGAGGGTCTTGCAGAGCCAGTGGGTGGGTTTGACAAGAGGACACTCAAGTGCCACCCCCCCACACACACGTCCTGCCTGGCCAGGGGCCTGAGCGGCCAGCAGGTGGCTGCAGTGACAGCCATGTCAGGCTGAGGGAGGAGGCTCAGAGGACCCGGGAAGGACCAGCCTTTGGTCACCAGTGTCTCAGGGGGCATCCACCATAGCAGGCGCACGTCAACCGGAGAGGCAGTAGCCACCCCTCAGAGAGCCAACAGCTCACTCCTGTGGGGCCCAGGCACACTAGGAGACCTCCACTCTTCCCTCCTCCTGCCCCAGAGTTGGGGAGCCAGTCAAGCCCCCACTTCCCATTCACCAAAATATTTCAAAGCTGCTGGAGACCCCACACTGGTCTGACCAGTCCTTGAGAAGAGCTTGGGTTTGACTGTGAGACAGAAGACCTAGAGTACAGGCCAGTGTCTCGCACACCAAAAAGAGCTGTGCCCCACCTAAAGGTGATGGGAAGCCATGGGCTCTGGTCTTCAAGGGACCTGGGGCTCTGTGGGAAGGGGGGCTCCACATGGCACCGCTGGGGTGCAGGTACTGGGAGAAGCACAATGAGGCAAGACTCCCCCATAAAAAGGCCCCACCTGGCTCCTCCCAGCTCCCTTCCCTCCTAAAGAATGTCAGCAAGTGGCTGCCTAGAGAACCCAGAACTTGGGCACGAGTGGCATCCTGAGGAGCCCAGGACGGTGGGCAGAACAGCCCTCCTGAGTCACTGAGATGAGATGCACAGGGAATGTGCAGAGTGCCCTTCCCTATGGCATGCGGCTGCCCTCACCATTGCCCTGCAGCCCACTGCCCACTGCAAAGCCATCTACAGCCCCCAGCGAGGTGGCCACCAGCAGACACCTCTTTCTTCCGCCCTCCCCAGCTAAACTATCTAATTTACTCTAGAGAGAGAAATAAACAGGTTGATTAGCCTAAAGGTCTCCAAGTGCCAATTAGTACCAGGGATTTCCTCTTTGAAGACATCACCCCAGCCTTCTTCCCCTGCTCCCTGAGGACATCAAACTGCAGGTGCCCAGGATGATGGGGTAGAGAGGCGGAGCAGGGTGCTGAGTGACTCTTACTGTCCCCCCATGTCTCATAATGTCCAGGGGCTCCCCGTGCCCCATCCCCCAGGTCCCCTGGGGTGGTGTCGGGTGGCTCCCAGTGCCCCTGGCTACCTTCTCACTGGGGTATAAGATGGAGCAGCTAGCTGCGCCATTTGTTCTCAGGGCTCTGACCACCCAGGAAAAGTGGGTTCCTGTTGCTTCTAGTGTGTTGGGCTTTTTTATTTAATGTGCACAGATTACAAAAAAAAAAAAAAAAAGCCTAGGTCTCATTCTAAACACATCGCTTCCAAGCTGTGTGACCTTGGATGAGTTACTCAACCTCTCTGAGCCTAGTTTCCTTATCACTGAAATGGGCCTACCTGGCAGGGGATTGTGGATGAAAATGTGTTCCACGTGCTGTGGATTTCTTCATCCATATAAGGGTCTGTCCCTGTGTGCCCAGAACATCTGGGCCTAGGGTGGCAAGAGTCTCCTGAATTCCACCAACACTGAGCCCCAGTTACAAGCAAGGGCCTGCTGGGGGCTGAGGGGTAGGATACAAGACAAATGCTGCACAGCCCAAGCCCTACAGAGCCCATTGGTGCAGAGCCCCTGCCACCCCTCCTGGAGCCTGATCCTCTCCCTCGCAGCTCCCTGCTTTGCCCAGACCACACACCTGGCCTCCTGCTCCCGCTCTGCTTCCCCTCAGGTTCTGCCCACGATCTCCCTACCCACTCCTGGCTATAGATCCAACTCAGCGGTGACCTGGACGGCCCTCTTCCAGCTCACGGCAGGGAGGTGACAATTTGACCTTCTATTAATTTTGCTGGCAGATGGAAGGACAAGGTTCTGGGATGGGGACACCTGAGTAAAGACCTGGGGGTAAGGAAGTTGTTAATTTTCAAATCACGGCTAGATTGTAGCCTCATCTGCACCTATCTGAGCTTCCCAGGAAATCCCTGGGACAAGTGTCATTGCTGGAGCTGCTGCATGAGTCAGGATGGGCACAAGTTGGGGGAGGGATACAGAGAGAGTTGAGGTCAGAAAAGTCAACATTTAGGGTGTTCACCTCCATTGCCCAGCTCTCCTTGGTGAGGAAACTGAGGCCCAGAGAGGCAACTTGAATACCCAAGGTCACACAGCAGATGGTGGCAAAGCCAGGCAGGGCCCTCAGCTCCTTGGATTTTGTTTCTCAGGCATTTGTCTTGTACTTCTGCTCCTAGAAATGCTTAGCACAGGGACCGGGGTTCATTTTGAGACAGAGGGAGAAGATTAAAAATAAAACGCGTGCCGGGTGTGCCTTTCTGCTCGTTCACTTTGCTTCTTTTCAGCTAAAAGAAGAGTCTCGGGCCTGGCTATTTATAACTAACCCAGATCTGCGATGGTTTGCTCAAGTGGGGGTGGGGCACACAGACCCCAGGGAAACAGTCGGGGAAACCCACCCAACTGGGCAGCAGCCTGAGAGTCTGCTGGGGGTGGGGGGTGGTTGCAGAGGAGGTAGGACAGGTGGGGCACAGAGAACCAGCCAGATGGGGTGGCACCAGAGCAGGCCAGGCTCTGGGCCATCCATGATTTAGAAACAAGCAACACATGCCCACCCCACCCCCGGGAAGCGGGAAAACTAGTGGAAGAGTCAGCTGGGGACAGGTCATTACAGAACAGGTTGACATGTGTGTAGACCAGGAATTCCAGGGTCCTAGGGGCTCTGGAGGTGCACAAAGGGAGGCCCCGGGGAAGCTGGTTCTCATGGAGATGAAGGAGAGTCCAGAACAGCAGGGGAACAAAGGTATGTTTGTGGGGAGTGCCCAATCTGGCCTGGCTGATATGTAGGGGCTAGGATGGGTTCAGTGGTTGATGAGCCAAAGAGATCCATTGGGATAGAGGGGTCACGGATGTCCATGGTGTGCAGCCCCAGTGGTGGAGGTCGGGTCATTTTCTTTATCTTATTTTTTTTTTATGAGACAGAGTCTCATTCTGTTACCTAGGCTGGAGTGCAGTGACATGATTTCCACTCACTGCAAGCTCTGCCTCCTGGGTTCACGCCATTCTCCTTCCTCAGCCTCCCGAACAGCTGGGACTACAGGTGCCCACCACCACACCTGGCTAATTTTTTGCATTTTTAGTACAGATGGCGTTTCACTGCATTAGCCAGGATGGTCTCAATCTCCTGACCTCGTGATCCGTGAAGGTGGGTCATTTTCTTTGTGGAGGGGGCAGGGGGTGCGGGTGCTGACACCATTTTCAGGGGCCACTCCTCAGCCAGCTGTGCCTGCTGGGTTGGGGAGGTGCTGAGTGGCCTCAGTCACTACCAGGACAGAGCACCAGCACCCAGGTTCTGGTCACAGCCACACCCTTTCCTGCCAGGGGACTGCACATCCACACATGGCATCTGGGGCCCACCTTGCCACAGGTGACCCACCTGTCCAGCTTTAGCCTTGCGTGGCCCTGTGCCCTGAACTCGTGGCCCACTGAGCCTGTCTTTGCTCCAAGGGGTGCTTCTCTGTCCTCAGCTTTCTTGGCTTCCCAGTAGCCGGGAGCATGGTTAACAGCTTCTTCCTTCACCACATGCTCTCTTCCCGTGCCTCTGGTACTCTCCATTCTCTGGTTCCTGACCACCTCTCTAACTGCTCCTCCATCTTTTTGGTAAGCACCATCTCTTCCTCCAGTGGTCCCCACCTTCTCCCCTTTCTCATCTCCCTGGGTCCTGATAATACCCCGCTACTGTCTCCCAACATGCTCTGCCATCTCACAGCCACAGCAGACGCTGCACTGTACTCGGCCTCACAGACTGACTTCTGTGCTCACTCCCACTTCCTCTGGACTGACTGATGTTTTTATTATTTTACTATGTCCAGTAGGACAACTCACATTGCCTGTGGGACCATGCCTACTGTAAATAGGGAACAAAAACTCGTCCTCCTCCTTCTCAAATTCAAAAGACTATCATTAAAACTCTCTAGTGGTTCTTAGGCCAACGTCCCCGACCCTACTGTCCCGAGCTGGTATCTGTGCATGGGCAATGGCTCCGGCCACATTGGTCTTCTCTGGGTTCTTCCTGGCCTCGTGCTCCTTCATGTCCTGCACCCTCCCCGCCTTGGAACTCACTTCCCTCCCACCCTACGTCACTGGCCACCTCCACACCTGCTATGGCCTCATTCTAAGCATCTCTTTGGGAAGCTGGCCCGATGCCCAATGCTCCCCCACTCCACGTGCCCCCAGAGCCCCAGTGGGTCTCCTCAGATAACCTCACATGATTGTAAGGCCCAATCGTTGTTTGCTTTCTGCCCCTGCCCTACAGTCAGAGGATCTGCCAGTAAAGGGCCGGTCTGAATCCTAGAACTGTGCCTACAACTATACCCTGGTGGAAGAGGCTATCTGTAAGTGACTGCTGCATGAATACAATATTGGTTTGATGCCAGGTGAGATGCCGCTCTCTTAATTTGAGGTGGTCATCAGCGTCAAGTCAGGGGGGTGTCAGCCAGCCCCAGTGGACCCCTCTGCAAGCTAGCCTCTGCTCTACACCTGGACCACTGGAAAGGGCGGTCCCTCTGTTCCACGTGGGCTTGCCCCTGCAAACAACTCAACTCTGAACCCCTCAACTCTGCGGTAGAAACAGACTCTGGCTATCCCAAGACATGCTAAAATGCATTTCCTATATACATTAACCCTAAGAATCACCCTCTGACCACAGTCTGTTACATTCCCCGTCCACAGAAGAGGAAACAAAGGCTCAGCCAGGTAGCACAGCTGCTGGTCTCTGTGTGGTCCTCCTGGTGAGAGGTCCAACCTGACACAGTCTGGTGGTGTGGAGGGCAAGCACAAAGTGTAGCCCCTCAGGCTGGGCGAGGTGGCTCAAGCCTGTAATCCCTGCACTTTGGGAGGCCGAACGGGAGGATCACGAGGTCAGGAGATTAAGACCATCCTGGCTAACATGGTGAAACCCCGTCTCTACTAAAAAATACAAAAAACTAGCCGGGCGCGGTGGCGGGCGCCTGTAGTCCCCGGCTACTCGGGAGGCTGAGGCAGGAGAATGGCGTAAACCCGGGAGGCGGAGCTTGCAGTGAGCTGAGATCTGGCCACTGCACTCCAGCCTGGGCGACAGAGCGAGACTCCATCTCAAAAAAAACAAAAACAAAAAACAAAAAAAAAAACAAAGTGTAGCCCCTCAGCCACTGGCTGAATTCCCTTGGTCCTCACTGGACACCTCCAGTGAGCAATAGGTTCGCCTCCATGATGCCCATAACAAATATACGTCCTGTTCCTGACAGTTTAGGCAGCACCCTCGCAGGTGGCCTACGACCGTGCGGGTACCTAACGCAATGGTCTCCATCTCACAGAAGTGGAAACATTCCCAGGGAGGTTACGGGATGATGCTGAGATGCCATAGTGTTCGGCTGGCAAAGCCAGGCACAGTAGCCCCTGCCTCCCCACCACAGAGCTACGATGGAGAGACCACTCTATTGACCTCTGCCATGGTCAGGTCCAGGGCTGCTGCTCAAAGAATGGCACGATCCACATAATTTGACCACAAAGGTGTAAGGTGATAAGAAAGGTGTTAGCTGGGAAGGCATCTGCACTTTGCCAGGGATGCTCTAGGATACACAAAGCTTCAGGTTACAAAGATGGAGAAGACAGAGCAGCATTCACGTCTTGGCCCTCTGGCTTGAGAGTCTTTTAAGCATGGAAGTGAGGGGCTCCTGGCCCTGAGGTCCACAGACAGGCTTTGAAATTGAAAGCAGAATTTTGCAGCCTGGGTTCAGCTGCATTCTGCTGAGGGTCTGATGCTTTCCACGAGCTTCCCAACAGCGCCAATGACCTTAACTGAACTGGCTCCCTCGCTCTTGTCTGGGCTGGGGGCCAGCTCCTGGGTCCTTCTCCCTTCCTTCCCTCCCAAGGCCACCTTTCCGTGTGCCAGGATTGCCAGGGACGCCAAAGAGCCCCTACACATTGGAGCAGCAGAAATGACTAATGCCCCCTCCCATCGCTGCACAAACCTCACCGGTGTAAATCGTTAGGGTTTGCATAGGCCTTTCACACGTTCTGAAGGATTGGTGAGACAATCCAGGAAAGCAGGTGCCACTAGCCCCACTTTGCAAACAGAAAGACTGGAAGAGGTCAGTCGGTTGCCCAAGGACGCAGAGCTCACAAGAGGCAGAGCTGGGTTTGAACCCGAGTGGAGAGAAGGTGAGCCGGGACGACTGCAGTAAAGAGGGCCAGGGCCATGACTGGGCTCAGGCTCGTTTTCCCGGGCTGCCAGAAGTAGACCCTGGGGCTCGGCTACCAGGCCTCAGCGCAGCGGAGTCACTGGGACGCCGGTGCTGGGAGCGCGTGCGGGACCGCGGCGCGCGCGGAGTCGCGACCCCGCCCCTGTCCGTCCCCATTGGACTGTTGGCCCGTCCGTCAGCTGCTTGTGCCCAATGGACAGAGGGTCGGAGCTCGTGGCGGGGCGGAGGTGCCCGGCGCGTGGTGCCCGGCGGGCGCGCGGCACCCCCCGCCCGCGGTTGGCCTGGCAACGGGCTGCGCTCGCGGCTCCGCCCCCTGCCGGCGGCGGCGCGGCGCGGGGCGGGCGGACCAGCGGGCGGGCGGCGGGCGGCGCGGGAGGGCGGGCGGAGGGAGCCAGGCCGGCCGGAGCGTGTGCGCCGCCCGCGGTCCGGTCACGTCCCCGCGTGGGCGCCGCCGCCCGCGTCGTACGGAACGAGGGCGCCGCGGCCCCGCGCTCGCCGCCCCGCCCCGCCCCGCCCTGCCAGGAGCAGCTCAGCAGATGCTCTGTGCCGCGGCCCGGAGGTGAGTGAGCCGACCCGCGGCCAGGCGCGCGCCGCTGAGCCTCGGGGGTCGGGGGCATGACCGGGGCGTCCACCTTGCCCTCACTTGGTACTCCTCCCGGGCCTTTGTGCCCCGAATCCGCCAGGACGCAGCGTCAGGGATGCCCGTCAGGGGTGGGGGACACCAAGGGCGGGGACGTCTGCGAGGTGGGCAGGGGGCGGCCTCTGGTCGGGCAGGTGTTGGGGGAGGGAGGCGCCGCCAAGCCCATGACCCCGCGGGAGGGGGCGGCTGCGGACCCGGGAGGATGGACAGAGGGCGCCGGGGATGCAGCGCGGGGCTGCCGGGCGCCCCCGAGCAGCGGCTGGTGCGGAGCCTGGGCTGGCAAGGCGAGCTGCGGGAGCGGCGCTGAGGCGGGTCTCCCTAGAGGGGGATCAGGGAGGGGCGGCCGGAGCGGATGCAGGGCCTTTCCCGAAACCAAGGAAAGGGCCCCAGAGGCCTGGGCCCGAGGACCTGGGCCCGGAGACGGACGGCTAGTAGTTCTCGGTCACTGCTCTTGAAGCGAGCAGGTTCCTCACAGGCATTGAGAGCAAGAGATGAGTATCGACCTGCTGCGATTGTAATACGTTCCCAGCTCAATATTTTTTCCCTTAAAAGGCGGTGGGGGTGTTTGGGGGAGGGGAGTGAGGGCCTCCGGGCTGGCGCTCCGAATCCTGCGGGCGATCCGAGGGGGCTCTGCCTTTAGGGCGGTGCTGAGCCTTTCTGGGTGATGATGGCAGGATTCGGCCTAGGCCGAGAATTGGGGCTCCTGTTACTGAGACAAGAGGACGATGCCAAGCGAGACCAGTGTTCCACAGAGTCCGTGTTGAGGTGGAGGGACCCGCCTGGTAGAGAGGTCTGTCTTGCTTGGGGAGACAGCTCAGCCCCTGACTGGCTCCTTTCTGCCCAAGTGATTTCCCTGCCCTGGGGATTGAGCTCTCTGGAGAAGGCTCCTTGGCCAAATTCAATTAAGCAAATATTTACTGAGTGCTCACTCCCCGAGGGCCTGGTGCTGGGGTGCACCGGGTGGGAGTGGACTGGGCCTCCCCTCCCAGAACTGATTCACCACCCCATAGGGGAAAACGTCTCTACTCGGCCAACCCAGCCTGAGTGCAGGTGCAGGGGCCTTGGTAGGGACCTTAAAGTGGTGCCCTGCGCTGGGGGGTCAGGTGAGCCCGTGGACAACATGACATTTGAACTGGAGCTTGAAGGACATGGGCACAGCTAAGCTGGGCATTGTGGGCAGAGAGGAGAGAATGGACCAAGGCACTTGGGCGGTTAGGTCTAATGGGAGCACCCGGCAAGCCTGGGGAGGAGTGGGAGGTATGGCGGGAAAGGCGGGTGGGGGCTGCACGGGGCTGAGGGAGCTTGAAAGTGGAATGACCCCGCTGCTGGTTAGCTGTGGCTGTGGTGGAAACCACAGCTTCCTCATCTGTAAAAGCGAAGCAGTTCCATGACCCCATGAGCTGGGGTGGGCCTGGAGAAGGGCTAGCTTTAAAGACTGGGGAAGGCTCCTTGCAGTCTGAGTCTGTGCTTCCAGGCACTTCTCCCTTGGGCACAGCCAGGGCACCGGGTAACCACCCAGGCAACCCCCTTGTTAGGATTGAGTTGCCTGTTTTGGGGATGATGCTTAGCTGGTGACTCTGTGCCTCTGGGATGTGGATGTTTGAGAGCAGTAATCGTGGCAGCCTGGGAGCATCCATCTAGGGGGTGCAGTGGGGGTGTGGATGGCCTGGCGGTGCTTGGATAAAATATGCGCCTTGAGCAAGCCTCATTCTCTAGGAATGAGAAGATGCTGGCATCTGGTTTGAAAGTCTTCCTGTGTGTTCCTCTAACAGACGTTGATTTTCTGAGACAGGAGGTGAATAAGGCATAATTTCTCCCCCTCGGAAGCTGGTGTCACTTTCTGCCCTAGGTCAGCCCCCTCATTTCTGGGGATGTTTTGCTCTCCCTCTGAAGGAACTGTTTGTTACTCATCTTTGTGGTGTTCCTGCCCTCCCCACCCAACACACACTTGGCTTTGGCCAAGGCCCAGGTTGATGCAGCGAGAACAGGGCCTGCCCTCGTGGGGTGTGCAGTCTGTGCTGAGCAGGGTGAGCTGCTGCGTTCTGTGCCTGTCGCCTGGACTGTTGCAGGGACCTGGCATGCAACTGTGGGTTTGGGACACCAGGAATGGATTCTTCCCTCTGTCCCCAGCCTCTCAGGCGTTTTGTTTTCTAGTCTCAGGAGGAACCTCAGAGACCTGGAGGCCCCACCAGAGTGGCTGGAACCTGATGCAGGAGTGTGGGTGGGGTCTCAGTCTGGACCTCAGGAGCTTCTAGAACAATTCCAGGAATTTGCAGGTAACTGGATGGACTTGACAGGGCTGCCCAGGGCCCCCGCAGAGAGGCCAGTAGGACAGGAGTGCTGAATATAGCAATTTAGGAATGCTGAATTTAGTCATCTTGTGTGTGAACACATGTGTGCAGCTTCCTCCTCTGGAGGCAGGGAAGGCAACCCTGTGCTGTCTGTCCCACGCTAGCTTCAGAAGACTTAATTGTGTGGCGGCAAAGGCACTCTCACTGCTGCTGACCATGGCAGGTGCACGGGCGCACTGGAGGAGGCAGGTCAGCACTCTGCTCTCCTGAACCCTCCAGGAAGGAAACCTGGGGTAGCCAAGCCTCTGGGTACCTGTGAGCACTGTGCTTGGCTGGAAGGAGCACAAAGCGAAATGGACAGAGGCGTCAGTGCAGATGCCAAGAGTCAGCCCCAGGCAGAATCCCAGAGCAGAGGCTATGCTGTGGCCTGGGCAGAATGAAGAGGGACATGGGAACACCGAGACTCTTGTGGCCCCGGGGTGGTGAGGTGAGAATTCCAGTCTAGGTGGCAGAAGACCTGGGGTCAGGCCCTGGCCCCGCCATCCTAAGTCTAGCCCCTTTTTCTCTGAGCCTTATTGTCCTCATCCGTACCCAAAGCCAAGAGTGCCCCGCCCTGTCCCCATACCAGCCCCTGCCATGCATTTTGGCCCTTTCGTGCGAACACTGCCAGGGGAGGCGCTTCACAAGAGTGAACCAATGGGGACCGCTTGGCAGATCCTGGAGCATGTAGGAGGAGACATCAGCCCTCTAGACTGAGCCCAAGGAGCAGAACCTCACGCGATTCATCCATTCATTTGTTCAGCTAACATTTACCAGTGCCTGCTGCATGCCAGGCACTGTGCCAGGTGCAGGGGTACAGCAGGGACAGAGCATCCACTCACAGTGCTCACACCAGAAGGGCAGGGGTTGACAGTAACACGTGTAACTAAGTGCTGCACTGTGGCGAACACTAAAGCAGAAGGTGGGGGACACGGGACGGGGGTGGGGGGCTGACACAGTACCATGAAGAAGTGCTGGGTGAGTGGTGTGGCTGAGCAGGGGAGAGACAGCAGGTGCAAAGGCACTGAACAGACACTCCCTGGCCCCTGGAGGCCCCACCAGAGTGGCTGGAACCCAGTGCAGGAGTGTGGGTGGGATCTCAGGGCCAGGTCCTGCAGGACTCAGCGGGCCCCAGTGAGGCAGGAAGACCTTGGCAGGGTTGGAGCAGAGAAGAGACTGGAGCTAATCTACACTTTGAAAAGATCTCTCTGCTGAGGTGGGAAAATAGGCTAGGGTGGGGTAAGGTTGGAGGCCATGAGGGGCCGTTGCAACCTTCCGGGCAGAGAGGCTGCTGACCCAGAGGTGGGAGCTCTGGAGGCCCTGAGAAATGCAGGTGGGAGATTTGTTTTTTAAAGCTGCAGCTTTTAAAGGACAGCTGCAGTTTTGGTCTGAGCCAGTAGAAAGATGGAGCTGGTATTGGCTGAGAAGCAAGATACAGAAAAACCCATTCCGGGGAGGTGGGGAATTGGGAGGTGGGTCTGAGACCCAGAGAGCCATTGATGAGCACATGTGGCCAGAGGGAGAGCAAGGCTGGAGGTGGCAACCTGGAGCCCTTGGCACTGAGGTGTGTGGGAGGCTGGGGACCACGTGAGGTCACTTAGGGATCAACGGTAGGTAGGATCAGAAGAGGCTGAGCTGGGCCCCTGGCCTCCACTGTGGGAAGGATGAGTTGAGAAGCATCAAGAGAGATTGAGGATTGGCGAGCTTCACAGTGGCGCCTCGGGAGGCTGGAGAAGAGCGGGTCCCAGAGAGCAGGTCCCCTGTGTCGAGCAGGAGGACATGCCCAGGGACGGAGCAATGCAGGCACAGCTGCCCACATTATTTTGGGGGCCCACTACTTGAGAATTATTAAGGGCCTGATGCGATGGCCCACACATGTAATCCTACACTCTGGGAGGCTGAGGTAGGAGGATCACTTGAAGTCAGGAGTTTGAGACCACCCTGAGCAACGTATAAGACCCTATCTCTACAAAAGTAAAACTAAAATTATGCATTCCGAAACAGGAGCAGCAGAGCATTAAAACTGTATGGATGCCCAAGTAAGTGCCCAGGAACCTGGCTGGTCACGGGGACCTCGAGGATAATACTGGGGCTGTGGTGGCCCCTGTGGAGAAG